TATGCATAACTATAACGTGGTAGCATGGTAACATGAAACTATAACATTATCGCCCCTTAAATAGTATTGTCTTATTTTTGTTACATTTACTTGTCTTCGTGTTGATGTTTTATTTTGTGGTAATGTCTCAACATCTTTCAAGTATTATGTGATCCTATAAACATGCTGTTTTTAAGAAAAGTGCGAACACACGCCATCTTGCCCATGCTACAAGAGAGATTCAAAGAACATAACAGGAGCGGACGAGCTAACGAAGCTCGTGGATGAGCTGAGGAAGGAACTTACCGTTGATAAAAAGAAAACGTCAGGTAAATCCGCGAGTAACGTTGTCCTTAGATCGATCGACTCGCGTTAGATATTTCGGGTATCCCTAGACTAGGTATAACCACTGATATATCGATATATAGAAGACTTTAGGTAACCACGGCTAGGTATAACCACTGACTAAACAACTTGTAGAAGACTTCAGGTATCCCTAGGCTAGGCATAACCACTGACATACCAACTTGTACAAGACTTTAGGTATTCCACGGCTAGGTATAACCACTGACTAACCAACTTGTAGAAGATTTCAGGTATTCCACGGCAAGGTAGAACCACTTACTAACCAACTTGTAGAACACTTCAGGAATTCCAAGACAAGGTATAACCACTGACTAACCAACTTGTAGAAGATTTCAGGTATCCCTCAGCTGGGCATAACCACTGACAGACCAACCTGTAGAAGACTTCAGAGGTATCCCTCGGCTAGGCATAACCACTGACAGATCAACTTGTAGAAGATTTCAGGTATTCCACGGCTAGATAGAACCACTGACTAACCAACTTGTAGAAGATTTCAGGTAATCATAGGCTAGGCATAACCACTGACTAACCAACTTGTAGAAGATTTCAGGTATTCCACGGCTAGGTAGAACCACTGACAGATCAACTTGTAGAAGACTTCAGGTATTCCACGGCTAGGTATAACCATTGACTAATCAACTTGTAGAAGATTTCAGGTATTCCACGGCTAGATAGAACCACTGACTAACCAACTTGTAGAAGATTTCAGGTATTCCACGGCTAGATAGAACCACTGACTAACCAACTTGTAGAAGACTTCAGATAATCTACGGCTAGGTATAACCACTGACAGACCAACTTGTAGAAGACTTCAGGTAATCCACGGCTAGGTAGAACGACTGACTAACAAACTTGTAGAAGACTTCAGGTATTCCACGGCTAGGTGGAACCACTGACAGACCAACTTGTAAAAGACTTCAGGTAATCCACGGCTAGGTAGAATGACTGACAAACCAACTTGTAAAAGATTTCAGGTATTCAACGGCAAGGTATAACCACTGACTAACCAACCTGTAGAAGACTTCAGGTATCCCACAGCTAGGTAGAACCACTGACAGACCAACTTGTAGAAGACTTCAGGTATCCCACAGCTAGGTAGAACCACTGACAGACCAACTTGTAAAAGACTTCAGGTATTCAACGGCAAGGCATAACCACTGACAGACAAACTTGTAGAAGACTTCAGGTAATCCCCGGCTAGGTAAACGACTGACAAACCAACTTGTAAAAGATTTCAGGTATTCCACGGCTAGGTAGAACCACTGACTAACCAACTTGTGGAAGACTTCAGATAATTAACGGCTATGTATCGCCACTGACAGACCAACTTGTAAAAGATTTCAGGTATTCCACGGCTAGGTAGATCCACTGACTAACCAACTTGTAAGGTATAACCACTGACTAACCAACTTGTAGAAGACTTCAGATAATTAACGGCTATGTATAGCCACTGACAGACCAACTTGTAGAAGACTTCAGGTAATCCACAGCTAGACATAACCACAGACTAACCAACTTGTAGAAGACATCAGATAATTAACGGCTATGTAGAACGACTGACAAACCAACTTGTAGAAGATTTCAGGTATTCCACGGCAAGGCATAACCACTGACAGACAAACTTGTAGAAGACTTCAGGTATTACACGGCTAGGTAGAACCACTGACCGATCAACTTGTAGAAGACTTCAGGAATTCCACAGCTAGGTATAACCACTGACTAGCCAACTTGTAGAATATTTCAGGTAATCCACCGCTAAGTAGAACCACTGACTAACCAACGTGTAGAAGACTTCAGGTATTCCACGGCTAGGTAGATCCACTGACTAACCAACTTGTAAGGTATAACCACTGACTAACCAGCTTGTAGAAGACTTCAGGTACTCCACGGCTAGGTAGAACCACTGACTAACCAACTTGTAGAATATTTCAGGTATTCCACCGCTAAGTAGAACCACTGACTAACCAACTTGTAGAAGACTTCAGGTATTCCACGGCTAGGTAGAACCACTGGCCGATCAACTTGTAGAAGACTTCAGGTATTTCACGGCTAGGTATAATTACTGAATATTCAACTTGTAGAAGATTTCAGATATTCCACGGCTAGGTATAACCACTGACTAACCAACTTGTAGAAGATTTCAGGTATTCCACGGCTAGGTAGAACCACTGGCCGATCAACTTATAGAAGACTTCAGGTATTTCACGGCTAGGTATAATTACTGAATATTCAACTTGTAGAAGATTTCAGATATTCCACGGCTAGGTATAACCACTGACTAACCAGCATGTAGAAGATTTCAGGTATTCCACGGCTAGGTAGAACCACTGACTAAAAAACTTGAAGAAGACTTCAGGTATTCCACAGCTAGGTATAGCCACTGACAGAC